CTTTAAAAATTTAATGTAAATATTAAAATTAACGACTTATTGTTAAGTTGCCATGGAAGAGAAGATGATTTTCGAAGGGTCCAAATGGTGTCGTTTGAGGGTTCAATCAATCCTTAGCCCCTACCAATCTTTGGAAAGATATGCCTTCTCCCCTCGAAACTGCTTTGCTCTTCGTTCTCCTTGGTTGATTCCGTCGTTGTCACCCTCGGATACTACATCTTATTCTCGGATACCTTCATTTGCTACCACACTTTTGTTTACCATGGAGAACATCAGTGCAAATTACACAGTCCAGTACTAGAGAAGAAGAACCATCACCAAACACAAATGGAGGAGATAGATAATGCAAACCAGGTAATTTCGAATACTCTTCACTTCAAATTAATGGATTTTGATTTTAATTTTAAACTATTTGGACTTGGTGTTAGATTTCCTTTGGGATAACTCAATCTCTAGAAGGTGAATCGTTCTCAGACGCTTCTAAAATCGAGGTACATTGCATGTACACTAAAACATAATATTTTAAGTTTCTTTTACTTGAGAGTGATTAGTTCAAAGGCACAAGTCATTCAACCATGAAAACGATCAATGTATTGAAATAGAGAAATTACCTGTTATGAAGATATTGAAATAAAGAAATCACATGTTACAGTAATCGATCGGTAATCGTCAAAATGCATTCAAAATTGTTTTAATAATTATTTTGTGTTTTTATTTTAGATCCCACCATTGAAATGAACCATTGAAATAGAGAATTACCTATTATGAAATTAACTTTGAAATCTTCTCTAAAAGAGTTCCAAATTTTGATGAATGATGAACTGTGAGATCATAAAAAAGTTTTTACTTTGTTTAGGGAGAATATCCCTTTTGCACATTTTTAGATGTTGAGTGTATTCCTCTCTCTTTATTTTTATGGCAACTCATTGTGAGGAAAGCCAAAATAAAGAGGCAAGGAGATATGTGGTTTGTTGTTAAATGAGTTTCTATCACGTACTCGTTGATAGAGTTTCCCTATTAGTAGTCTAAATTGTTGTCAGATGAACGTCGACTTTGAATCGTCAAATGATTTGACCTCAACTAATAATGAGATCGAGCACACTTTCCTTCGGAAAGAAAGGGAAAGAAGTCTGCTACAATTACATACAAGATGATTGTGCAGTGTTTTCAGAACATGTGTAAAGACTTAGACGGCGAAAGGAATGAAGACCAATAGATGTAGGCTGTGAAATTGACCAAACTTTTATTTTGTGTTATTATTTTGCTAGGTCCTGTTAATCGCGACAAGCCCACTATACCAAATTAGATATTGGGCATGTTTGGACAGTAGAGAGCAGTTAGAGATTTCCCATTGGAAATATGAGCATTTATCGAATCTTTGGGGTCAGTAAAGAAGGACCCAGCTGCTAAAGCCAAAATCAGTGGGCCCTCATAAATAATGTATTACACTAGTTTCATGCTTCCTATTGGTTAAGAATCTTTTCAATTACTCCCTCCGTCCCAAAAAGATTTACACGTTTCAAAAAAATTGTGTCCCATAATCCCTTACACATTTCTATTAAAAAACCACTTTTACCCCCTACTTTTTCAAACCCTACCTATCACATTATACCTTTTTCCTAATAATCTACACATCACATCCTACTTTTACCCATCACATCAAGGGTATTTTTGGAAAGTCAACACAAAATTATCCTTTTCTTAATTTCAACTTTAGTCAAAATGGGTAACACTTTATGGGACGGAGGGAGTATAATTTATGATAAATGTTTTGCTAATTTGTATTGTGATCTCATCGAAACTTTCAATATGAAAAGACAAATAATAATAAAAAGGTGTTTTTAATGATGATAAATTCTTTGAGCATCGTTTGATATCATTAACATGTTTGAAACTTTGGGTATCGTGTGATCTCATCGAAAGTTTCAGTATCATTTGATATCATTAACATGTTTGAAATTGTTGATGCGGTCAAAATAAAGCACCTGGTTTCACCGGAAGAATCTATGCGTGGTATTGGCTCTATCTCATATGTCCCTCGGTTTGCCTCAGGATCCAAGATGGTTGAAGATTCAAAAAGTGGATTGTTTAGTTCATTTAGTATTCTTTCTCAGGTCTTAAAACACGAGTGGGAGCCTCCACCTTGAGGACAATGTGGATTTTAAGGGGGTGTGAATGATACAGATGGTTAATTAGAATATTGTAATTAGTTATATTACTATTTAGTAGTTATTTATTACTTAGTTTAGGGTTTTAATATGGGCCCAAACCCATTAGGTTAATTAGAGTTCTCATATCCCTATATATTGTACTCCCATCTCATTATTATTCAATCAATAAAGAATGATCAAAATCTTATTCTCGTTCTCTACTCTCTTGGAGTCCGAAAACACTCGAAGTTTTCCATTTCTCTTTGCATCCCCTTTCTTGGAGCCCAAAAACGCTCGAAGTTCTTCCTCATCCCGATACGAGATTCGTATCATATATAATTGTACTAAAGTTGATCGATAATTGACTCGATTATAGTTGGCAGAGATGATTGGCTTGCTGAATATACCATCGAACCGCTCAGGGAGCTCCCATATCGAGGATTCTCCGCTTCAGATTGAGATTTTCTATGGAGAAGGGTTAACTGGGTGCGGTGATGCTTCCATCGCAGTTGGCGGAAGCTCAACCGCAGCTATTTCCTCCGATCTGGAGAAGAAAGTTCGAGAAGACATGTGAGTATTGAACTTTTTAGTGTCATAAAAACTTAATCTTCTTTAATTCAACCATGCTAGGGGTACACCAAAAGTGTGTACCCCAAAGAAATGCACCAAATGTTAGTTCACTTAAAAAAATTGCACTAACATTTTTTGTTAATGTAAACCATCACACTAGCACAAAATGTTGGTGCATGCTTTTGGGACACAAAATGGGGTATAAATTTTGGTGTACAAATATCTCAATACCCTTTAATTTCATCGTGGATTCCTAACAAATTATTGCATTGAAATCGATGGATAGTTGACTCAAGTGGTAACAGCACCGAATGTTGGTATTTAGCACGTACCGACATCGTATCAAATATTTTGATTTAGTATGAGATTTTACTTTATATTGATCTCGATCTCGAAATTTCGCTTCAGTATGATTCGGGATGGTTCGTATCGGTTTCGAGATAAACCGTGATGAAAAGAGACGCACTTAATTTAAACTTTAAAATGTCACAAAAATATTTATTTTTTTATAATTCGAAGTATATTTTAAACAAAAAAAAATGAAAAATTAAATGCACGAAATGCATATTAAACTTAGTTTATCGCAATCTACCGTGAACGGATGATAACAAAATGATATTTCAAATGTGTTTTACTATTTTTAAATTCTTCCAAAAAAAATTAAAAGTTAAATAAAAGTATAAGTACACATAATAAAATTTGAGCCAAATTTAAAAACAAACTTATTGTTCAAAAAAATATGAAAAGATTATTATATTTATAATGTACTACTCCCTCTGTCCAAAATGAAAACTTCCCGTTGCGCGTTATGATGTTTGACTGAAGTTATTTTCAAATCATTTTATATGAAAAGTGGTGTAAAATTTAAAAATAATAATTACATATTAAAAAATTATATCAAAAGATCTACAAATGACTATATTATTTTATCAAATGATTGACAAAAAATAAGCCAAATAAAATTTAACTCTGTGAATAATGAAGTTTGGGTATAGTGTATCTTCCCCAAATACCAAACTAAACATTCCATTAGGTATGGTAATGGTTCTACGGAGTATATTTTATGGGTTTGGTTTTCTAGGTTTTTCGGTCGGTATGGGTTAGGTATTTGCTCAGCCCCTACCACAGATATTCCGCGGTTAAGATTGAGAATGTAGGCGATGAATCACCTGGAGTACGATCCCCCGGGCGCACAGATCACAGATGCTGCCGTCGAAGCCGATCTAAACTCCGTGTGGATTTCTACCAAGGAACATAGCTTGATAAGAGAGGTAAATTGTTAAACCTTCTCTCTGTCTCTCTGTCTTTTGCTCTCATATAACCGAATCCAATCTGATGCAGTTTTGTGGATCCGGTGTAATGTAACATCTGGATCGAAGAATTTGAAAAGGAGAAAGCAGATTGCTGAAGTTTTTTTTGCTCTTCAAGCGGTGGTGGCAATGCCTCTGACGCGATAATGGATTGGTATGATTTCTTTTGTCCTATTGCATTTGCTGGTCTAATTTGAAACTGTGTTCTTAATCTGAAAATTAATATGATTTTGTTTTTTATAAGGTTATCTGAACTAAAAGCAAATATAGTAAGCAGCTACCCAAGCTTCCAACTGCAATAGGTATCATAATCAAAAGTTTTGGACAAAGTCTTAAAGCTCCATTCATCAACTGATTTCATTGGGCATTTTGCTTTTTCACTATTGCTTTAGGCTTATGAACACCCAAACTGTAAAAAATAATAAAGAATGCTTTCTTGATTGAATAATTTGGAAGAACACAAAGTAATGAATATATAGTTGGAGTTGGAGTATTCTAGAATTCTCCATATTAATGGATAGGTAAATAAGGAAATATTGTATAATAATAACTCTAGCTATAATAGGTAACAACCATAAATATAATATATAATGTTAAACATATTAAAATAATTCATATATTTAACATAATTATTTGTCGTCCATTGTAAGGGCACAAAGTAAGCATTTAAAATACCTAACATTACAACAAAAATCCATTCAATTTCTGGCACATACATGATACAGAGTATTTTAGCTTCAATCCTTATATGAGAGACCTTTTGACAGCCATTTAAATTCAATGTTTCAGGGTTTTCAAGATGTTCTTGACCCTTTATGAAGAAGGAGATGTCCCTACTTCTAATACTACTGATTCTAGGTCTTTGAACTTTCAACAAAGATTTGGATGCGACTGGTGGAGGGGCTGAATCAGATGAAGAAAGAAGAGGAAGAAGAGGAACAAACATAAAGATGAAGAAATTGAGGAGAAGCAAAAGACTGCTCTAGGGGCAATAAATAAGTAGACTTCAGTTGTGAAGAAAAAAGACGAGCACACAACAGTTAATTTAAAAGGTAAACAGGATGCTTCTAATGGAAAACTCAACCAGACAATTGCAGAGCCAAAGGGTGACCAAGCTGAAAAAGATAACCTAACCACTGCTGAGGTAAGACATAACCGGATACCTCTTTCACTTGTTGACATTGTTTTGACCTCTAACTAGCGGCACTCTAAGCTAAATCCAGAAAGTATTGCGTATAATGACTTTAACACATACAAATAATTCTCAAGCGAAGTTGAATATTATGAATGGACTTCCATTTTGGTTCGCAAACTTGACACGCACCCCCCCAAACAAGTCTAATTATTTGGTATGATATATGAACAAACTTTAAGATACTTTGCTAGGACAGAGACGAGAAAAAATAATATGCAAAGTGGAACATTATTCTTGCCTTTATCTTGTGCAGTTAACAGCTACTAGTATTATTTGCTTAGTTAACGATTCTACTAAGCCAAATTATTATGATGGTAATCCCTTTGACAGCTAGCTAGATCCGCACTTTGAGTGCAATTTTGAGTTAACTAATCACAACAAAGAGATTGTCCAAAACAATATTACTCAATATAGGGAGGTTAGTGCTCTCAGGTCAGGTAGCCACAGAATATACTCACAGTTCATTTTTATGTCAAAAACCTTTTCAAATTTACACATGAACACAATTGTTAGTCAAATATCACACAGAAAGCCCATATGCACACTGCTGATGAAAGAAAAATATCAACAGCTGAAAATCATGCATGTCTGCCCATATGCACACAGAATGCGCAGATTGGGGACTGTATAAAGTGCGTGTGTTGGCAACCATCTTCTTGACATCAGCTATAAACATTTCAACAGTGACATCATACATCTCGGACTCAATTTGTTCACTTATGGTCTTGAGATCTGGCATTGTAAGCTCATAAGGCCAGCCATACAAAACAACCAGTAATATAAAAAAACTTGAGAACATCAACTTGATGAAATTTACCTATGGGATCAGTGATGACATGTTGTAGCAGATCAACTTGATCATTGAAAGCCCCAACGTCAGCATGATTATTCATTGACTTCTTTTACATTTTCATTTTCACTTGCCCATTTAGTAAAAACTGAAAACTCAAGTAACAAATAATGTGGAACACTTTTTTCCATACATGTGTGTGTGGAAAAAAGTGTTCCACATTATTTGTTACTTGGATTTTTACTAACTGGGCAATTGAAATGAAAATGTTGAAGCAGTTAATGAATAATCATACTGACGCTGGGGCTTTCAATTATCAAGTTGATGTGCTACATGTTATCACTGATCCTTTCGGTAAATTTCATCAAGTCATGTTTTCAAGTTTTTTTATATACTTGGTTATGTATGACTGGCCTTATGAGTTTACTATGCCAAATTTGAAAACCATAAGTGAACGAGTTGAGTCCGGGATGTATGATGTCACTGTTGAAATGTTTATAGTTGATGTCAAGAGGATGGTTGCCAACACACGCACTTTATACGGTCCTAGTCTGCGCATTCTCATTGCACATACAAGCATGATTTTCATCTGTTGGTATTTTTCTTTCATCAGTATTGTGCGTATGGGCTTTCTGTGTGATATTTGACTAACAATTGTGTTCATGTGCATGTTTAAGAATGTTTTGGGCATAAAAGTGAACAGTGAGTATATTCTGTGGCTCCCTGACCTCTGAGCAATAACCTCCCTATATTGAGTAATATTGTTTTGGATAATCTCTTTGTTGTTGATTAGTTAACTCATAATTGCACTCAAAGAGCGGATCTAGCTAGCTGCCAAAGGGATGACCATTATAATAATCTGGATTAGTAGATTCGTTAACAAAGCACGTAATACTAGTAGTTGTTAACTGTACAAGACAAAATGCAGCAATAACGTTCCACTTTGCATATTATTTTTTCTCGTCTCTGGCCCAGTAAAGCATCTTAAAGTTTGTTCATATATCATACTGAGTAATTAGACTTGTTTAACCATTGGTGTAGTCACTCTTAGGTTTAGGTGCATGCGTACCACCAATGTAGTCACGTCAACAAGTACTTGGGTATGTTCAAAGTACTTGGGTATTTAATTTAAGTATTCCTTCAGATTTGCCGGGGGGGGGGGGGGGNAAATGGAAGTCCATTCATACTATTCGACTTCACTTCATAATTATTTGTGCGTGTTAAAGTCTTTATACGCAATACTTTCTAGATTTAAGCTTAGAGTAACGATAGTTAGAGGTCAAAACAACGTCAACAAGTGAAGGAGGTATTCCATCAAAGAGAAACAACAATGAAAACAATGAAGAAAAGGGTTATCAGTTCAATGTTTAAATTGTAAGTACTTGGGTATGTTCAAAGGATGTGTTTGTGCTGTTACAAGGGAAAGCGGAAACAGAAGGTTTTTTTGTGGTGTTTTAACATTCAAAACAAGTGAAGTTTGAGAATGAGTAAAAGCAGATTTTGCTTTTACATAAATAGTACGGAGTAGATAGAAACTGTTCTTTAAGAAAAAAAATTCTTTTTTAAAATTAAACTCTTTATTTATTTTTCAATGAGATTAAGAAAACTTGAAATTAAATGATTAAGATTTATGCAGAAAAATATTTTTTAGAGGTTTGATTGATTTTTGTTAAAACTAATTTATTTAATTAAATATTGGTGTAAAAATAAAAAACAGTTATATTTATTTAGAAAAAATATTTACAATTGTACTCCCTCTATCCTATAATAATCATCTCGGTCATGATTCACATGATCAAACTTTAATTATTTTTTTTACTTGTTTTCGTTAGTTATTTGATAAAATGATATGATCATGTCATCTTTTATTTTAAATGATTTTTTATATAGTTTTAAAATCTACGTATAATTTTTATTTTTAAATTTTATATCTATAACCAAATAAATTAAATTAAAAATAATTTAAATCAAACCTCGTAAATTGAACAAATTAGATAATTTTAGAATGAAGGGTATACAAATTAAGATGCGACATAATTATATTACTTTATGAAATAATCGGTAATAAAAAAATACCCAAAAGGCACAATATTGCAATAAACAAATACGTGGCGAATTTGACCTTTTTCGCGGGCGGTAGTGATTCACCGAAATTCAAGAATGGTAACTTTCACGAATATTTCGATTTGGTACCTAAATTTCAAAATCCTTCACAAAAGCACCTGAACTTGTACCTTAATAATTCATTTACGAATTACCAGGTGATCACCCGGTCAATTTGGGTCAAATTACAAGACCTTCTTTAATTTTTTCTTTTTCTTCTCCTCGCAATCCCATTATCTATATTCTTATCTTTTTCAACACATTCCCTTTATCTTTTTTCTTCTTCCCTTCATTTCTTCCACTTTTTTTTAAATTTCTTCATTTGCTTTTTTTTCTTTATTTTCTCCTTTTTAAACTTTTTTCACTGTCATAAACTTCTCTATTTGTCTTCGTTTGCTATTTTTTCTTTAGTTTGTTTTTAAAATTTTTATTTATTCTTTATTCCTTTTGTACCTTTTTTCATTTCTTTGTTCTTTGTTCTTTGTTTTGTTTTTTGTTTTTCTTTCTTTTTTCCTTTATTTATCTCTTTTGTTATTTTTCCTTTATCTTTTTATCTTTTCTGTTAATACTTATGTTACTTTATATTTAATCAATTTAATTAAACAAAAAAGTTAAACCACATGTCTTAACTTTTTTTGTTTGTTTTATTTGATTTTTTTTGTTTTTTTATTAATTTTTATTGTAAATAATTAAACCGAACAAGTGGGAAAAAGTCATAAATAAATACATAAAAACATTAGAAACAAAAAAGGTTAACTAGTTATTACGGAGTAAAATTTTATTTTTATTCTTATCATTTTTGTTTTTTATTTTTATATATTTTTAATGAAAAAGTAAGAATTAATCTAAACTTATATTCGTTCTAATTTGTGCGTACGATTATCTCTTTTCATGTTTAATTATTCTTATTTCGGTTTGCTTTATATTATTAAGTAGTGTTACTTTATTTAAAATTTTAATTAAATAAAAAAAGGTACTATATGTCTTAGTTTTTAAAAATTTTCTATTGTCTTTTTTTCTTTTTTATGTATTTATTTAAGGCTTATTTTAATTACTTGGTTTCTTTAATTTTTTTATAAAAAAGATTAAAAATAGACAAAAAAAACGTTAACAAACAGAAAAATTCAAATAACAAACAAAAAAAGTTAAGACGTATAGTTTGATTTTTTTGAACTAAGGCACCTCGCATTCAATATCGATGAGTATGCCGTATGCGTGAAAACAAAAAACGATTTATCTGAAACCGAGTATTAAACAAGAAAAATGTTAGGGGTACACCATTTGGTGTACCCCATTTGTCCCTCACCCCCTCCTTGTTTACATAATTGGACAAAAAAATCAAAAATAAATAAATAAATAAAAATCAAATAAAAATGAGAGTTTAAAAAGAGGGTGGTGTACATTTGGGATACACTTTTGGTATACCCCTAGCATTGCTCATTAAACAGTTCTCGGGGATGGGGTGTCATCCTTTCAAAAAATAATAACAGATTTACATTCTATTTTTTTGTTATTAATTCATGATTAATTTATGTTTTAAGAATCTTCAAGGGGAGGTTTAACTTTTTTTCTTTTGTTCTAAGAAAACTTATGTTTAAAAAATCTTTATCCAAAATAGAGAAGCTAGGGAGTAATTACAAAAACAAAAATCCACAAAACAAAAAAAATCAGTTTCCACCCCAAACTTATTTTATCTCCATCAAAACGACACAACTTGATTACCACAAATCGTGATCCCAAAATACTCTAAAATTTAAGGAGTGGAAATGGTAGAATATATGGTTTGACCAAAGACCAAAGAATGAGACAAAACACTTTCGTCTCATTGGCTAAAGCAAACGCTAAAAAGTCTAAACACATTAACACGAGATACATAAACCTCAGCTCGTTTATTTAGTGCGACTCAAAAGTCAAAAAAAAAAGACTTTATTTTTAAAGGCCAAACGTTCCCATCTTCAGAGACCCTCCGTGTAAGCCACGCCGGTGTTCTTCAACCACGATCCGCCCTGGATCAGCTGCGCCACCGTGAACTGCATCGCCACGCTGGCATCGGTGATGACGTGGTACCCCTTCCACGTCACTCTCTGGCTAGTCCCCGCCCCCGGCCCCCTGTTCATGTACTCCCCATAGTACAGAGTGCTCAAGGCAAAGTCCCCACTCCATGGAGCCCAACCCTTAGGGTCAATATGGTCTCCGATATTGGACTGCATAAACACAGTCCTCGAGTACTCCTTCCACGGGCGTCCCAAGAATGTCTTGAAACTGCCCTTAACAGGGGCGAGGTCCGAGCTGGCCTTCACCTCGCAGTTCTGGATGGAGGTCCCCGTGTTCTGGTTCGGGTCGGTGCGTCCTTGGGCGGTCAGCATGTTCTGTTGGTTCGGAGACGGCTTACGGGCTATGATTTTGGAGTTCTGGATCACCACCGCGGCGTTGCCGAAGATGAAGTCCACGGTGCCGGAGATGTGGCAGTCCCGGTAGAACTGACGGAGTTGGTGGGCGTATAGGGTGTCCTGGTACGCCTCTATTTTGCACCGGTTTATGACCGATAGATCCGCTCCGACCCGTAGCGCCACCGCCTGGTGCTTCTCCGGTCCGGCGGTGTTCCGGAAGCAGAGATCTTGTGCTATGAACCCGTCCCCAACAGCGGCTGATATTTTATAAAAAAAAAGATCAATCGGATTGTACGATGTTTAATTATCAGTTACATTAAATTTAAAGGAAATGGTGGATCGGAGTGGTTTACCGACTGTAGCGGAGTTGAAGGTTGTTGAACCGTCGACGACATTCAAGCTGCCGGTGATGATGGTGGCGTCCATTCCATCTCCGACCAGCATTATGTTCTTCTTTTTGATCTGCACATTTTCTTTGTAAGTTCCCTTCTTCACGCGAATCACGTACCTTTTTGTGCTCTTCTCCGGCGCCGCCGCCACCGCTTCGTTGACCGTCTTGTAATTCCCGCTCCCGTCCGCCGCCACTACCACGTCGGCATCAACGTTCTTCCCGGAAACTTCCAGGAGCCGCCTGTCTCTAGGACTGACCCACGCCGGGAACTCGCCGTCGAGTTCCCGGAGATCGCCCGCCTCCGACGGCGCGACTGCAACTAGCACCGCCAGTGAAGACCTCGCACGGGAGATCAAATCTTCTAGTACGGGCTCCATCATGGACCGGGCCGGGCCGGAAAGCCCATCCAAACAAGTATCGTGGTTCGTGAGGACGCTGCTGATCCAGGAATGTGCATCGGATCGGGCCCGGGCCGAGAGGTTTCCCAGAGCCACCATAGAGTCCAATACCCGATCCAGCGACGAGTCCATCAGCTCAATACAGTCCTCGACCGCGGATCTCGCCTGCCGGCCGTTGACCCGGCGGCTGACGTCGGTGGAGAACCGGACGGCGTCGCGGATTCGCCGCGAAGAGGAGTGTAAGACCAACTGCAGCAAGCGTACGGCGTCGGTTTGGGTGGAGCCGGGGGGCGAGACCTCGGAAAGAACGGAGGAGCAGGCACGCGGGTCATGGGCCCGGTTGCAGAGACGGGCTTCCAAGGTTGGGGACGAGTTGGTCCGAACAACCCAGACGGAAACCACGGCAACGGAGCCCACGAGGGCAGCTAGACATAAAACAATGTAGATGGCTTTTGAAGAAGAAGATGGTTTGGCATTGGGAGTAGAGAGGAGTGGTTGATGGGAGGTTGCCATGGCTTTGGCTTGATTTTGTGTTATTGTAGTGAGTGAAGTCTCCACTGATTCAGATCCTTTTTATATTGGCAGATTATCTATACGTGTCTCTCTCAAGGTTGTTTCAGACTCTTAATGGTTCTGAATGATTCAGCACTTAATAGTTTAGACTGTTTGTTTCAGCCTCTTAATGGTTCAGATGTCTGAATGGTTAAGAGATTTGCCTCTGAATGGTTAAGTATTATACAGAGTCGGAATGGTTAAGACCTCTTATCTGAATTGATCAGACATTTACCTCTGAATAGTTAAGCAATGTACTAGCTCTTAATGGTTTAAACCTCTTATTGATTCAGCACTTAATGATTCAGACCTCTTACTGGTTCAGCACTTACCAATTCAGAAGTTGCCAAACAGCCCCTAAGGGTGTAAGTTAGGATACAAATTAAATTTTGTGTACATCTAGCACATGCCTTAAAGAGATCCTAGATAGGCCCCGTTTGGCATCAGCGTTAGAGATTAGCGTTAGCGTTTTGAAAAAGTTATCCGACGGTAGCCTTTAGCGTTAGCGTTTTCAGAATTAATCTGCACCATTAAAATTTTATCCAAAACACTAACGCTAATCGAAAACGCTATTACCAAACAAAGCCATAGACTAAATTTTGTTTGTATAATTGAGTGTCGACATTATTTTTGGTGAAATTAGCAATAAGCACTACACAAACTCTCCCTTCTTCCCAATCTTTTTCTTCCAATTTATAAGAACGTGCAAAATCAAATGTCTTTTAAAATGATTTAATTTACAAATTATATAGAAATAAAAAAAATTAAACTATGTTGTTTTGAATTTCTTCACATGTTCTGACATAATTATTTGATTTTAACAAATTATTATACATAAGTTATCAAGAGTGTCTAGTATGTAGTAGTTGAGAAAATTAATTTGGAACAAATGGGTACTTACTTTTCATTTATTAAGTTTAATCATTTAAAAAAAATTTACTCTCTTTGTCCCCAATTTGATTACAAATTGGAATTTATAAGGAGAAATATCTCACTTTTTGAAATTATTTTATTTACAAATAGATATATTGAAAAAAGAAACAAAAATTACATATTAAAAAATTACGTCAAAAGTTATACCCGGAGTACAAAACAAGAGATGACAAGAATATTTTATTTTATCAAATAATTAATGAAATCGCGTAAACAAACTAAAGTTATCGAGAGAAACAATTGTAATCAAATTGGGAACAGAGGTAGTAGTAAACATATATAAACAGAGTACATGGCAAAAACTTTGTTGGCCGTCATGATTTTGTAGACCTTATTTAATACAGAGTATTTTAACCCTTTTCAAGGGTGGGGTTCCAGTGCCACTGGAATTCGGTGCCACTCCGGTGCCACCGGCATTTTGGGGCACCTTCGATGCTCCGTTCGCAAAATTGACGATTCCTACCCCCCTAACCCACCCCCTAAACCCCCCACCCTACCCCCGCTCCTGCACCCCCACCCCAATCCCGCCGTAAGCCCCCCACTTGTGGGGGGCTTACGGCGGGGTTGGGGTGGGGGTGTAGGGGCGGGGGTAGGGTGGAGGGTTTAGGGGGGTTTATGGGGGGTAGGAACCGTCAATTTTGCGAACGGAGCACCGGAGGTGCCCCAAAATGCCGGTAGCACCGGAGTGGCACCGGATTCCAGTGGCACTGGAACCGGGCCGCCTTTTTCAATGATTTGAGTCTACAACGTGAGTGGATTTACATATTAAATGTGGACCACCAAATTACTTTTCAACAAATAATAAGATTTGTTTCTCAAACATTTAAGACAAATTCTTTTGTGGTCCTTAATTAAGGTTCATACATATTTTAAGAAAAAAAACTTTCATTTTGAAGAAATCAAATGAGTAATACAACTCGGTCGAGTAGAATCCCACAATCCCACCTGATTCAAAGGATCTAGCCAAGGTATGAGCTACGCCATTCAAAGCTCTGTGCACAAATTGATAGACACCTCGAGAAAGGACTTTGAAAACTCTAAACACGAATCAAAAAAAACTTCCACATCTCACACAATTCGATCTTGAAGCCGGGATAAAGCCTCCACACAGACATAAGCTGCAATTAAGGGATCTTGACCTCATGTCCTCATTCCATTTGCCACGGCTATAAACTTTCCTAATGGACCGAACAACACACAACCAAACGAAATGCAACCCTCCAACGGAAAAATACCTGCATCAAAGAAGCACTACGAGGTTGTAGCGCAAAGGGTCCTACCAATCTGTAACGCTTGATGCAACTGGACAGCCTTCGCGCTTCTAGTACAACCTATATCCATCTCTAGCACCATATGCTTTGTCATCGTAGGTAATGTAACCTTCTCCTCCCAAACCATTGAGTTGTGCGCCTTCCATATCGCCCAACAAGCCCAAGCAGTGACCTGAAGCTCCAAAAGCGACTCAGATTGACATCGAATTTGGAACCATTCTTGGAAGGAGTTAGGCAGTGTTTGATTGCCACCTTTACCCAACATGAACCAAACCGAGTCTCCAAAAGGACAAGATAAAAAATGTGAAAAATTATCTTCTCTGATGCCCCGCAAGAAGGGGAGTTGTCGTCCACCACAACATACACCACACAATACACTCATCTTCGATCTTCATCTTTATTCTTCTACCTTCTTCATACATTTTCTCCTTCTTCCTCTACTCATGGATTCGTTAATCCATCAATGGTGCTTTCATTGTGAGTGTTGAACGCATCAAGCGTGCTCTTAATGAGAGCACCACTCTTAGGTTATGAAACCCGGGGCCTAGGAGGCTAGGCGAAAAGATTACCGAACTAAATCGAGAATACTCAAGTTAGGAATCAAGATTGTGAATATTCGTCCGCTAGAGAACGTGTCCCCCTCCTTTCTTAAGAAAGGGGCTTATATACAAGCTACAAATGAGGTTCCCGACCGTTGGTCCAGAGTCCAACGGATCAGGCCCACTAAAATTTGGTTGTTTAACCGACGGCGCCAACCACATCATTATCTCTAAGGCGGCTATACAAGATAGATTACAAGTAGGGTGACTACAACTAATATGACGGAGGCGTGGCATACGTCCCATCGTGGGTCCCCTGACTTGACTAGTCACGTAGCCTCCATGCCCTGCGGCCTTGGTCCGGATCCTAGGTGGAGGTCGAGTACACGTGATCTGCTTCCTGAAGTCCTCCGACGAGGGGCCGACCGAGGGTGGTCCAAGGCCGAGCGTGTCAATTGGGGCCGAGTGCACGCAAGTCTTCATGCGGCAGCGGCCCTCTTGAGACTTCAGTTTCTTTTTAGTTCCGCCCAACTGAGTGGGCCTGAACCTCACTGGGTTCGGCCGCTATTTCTGTTGGGCCAGATACCCCCAATAGCTTAGAGATTTTTTCTGACTTTGTGTCTCTTCCTTTCTGCCGATGCCTTTCTTATATCCGCTTCTCCTCTGTTCTTCATATTCCTTTCTCCTTTTCTACCGCTGCGTTTGTTCTTCATCTTTTACTCCGCTGGCTCATTAGATCCAAATTAGATTCTTTTATGGGATCCAATGCTCTCTTCCGTATAAGGTAGATGCTAACAAAGGCGAAAGAGGTTTAACTGAGAGCATCAGACGAAAACCCATCGGCGACTAACCGACCACGAATTAAATTACTCAACGGAGGAAAGAAGAAGAAGAAGAGAGGTAGTGGCGGTGAATCTGGGTGTCGACGATGATAGCGGCGGCAGTGTGGAGCTGAGCCTGCAAACGAAAGAAAGATGAAGAATAAAAAAAGAATAAAGGTAGCGGTGGCTAGGGTTCGTGGGGCGAGGAGGGAAAAAGAAAAGAAAAAGGAAAAGAAAGGAAAAAGAAAAAAGAAAAAGGGAAAGGGGAAAAGATAAGGAAAAGGGAAAGGGGAAAAGGAAAAAATGTTTAGGTTTACATAATTCATAGGTTATAAATAATAGAGTAAATTTCATAACAGTACTCCAGCTATAAGTCGTTTTACATATTTAGTCCCTACATATCTGATATTATTAATTTAGTCCTCAATTATTATATTCATTTCCACGAATGGTCCTTTGTTAACATTTCTGTTAAGAACGTGGATAAATTGTAAATTCACACTCCTCTCTCTCCTCAATTAAGCTTCCTCCCTCCTCTCGTACTCTTTCCCAAACTCGTCGCTGAGTTTGAAACTCTAAACTCAAAACTGGAATGATCATTCATCTCTCAATTATTAGTCTTCTTAGTGAAACCTAAAATCCAAACCAATAAGCTTTATAAATGAGTTTTATCAGTTAGTCTCAAGAAATTGCAAAAAAAGTAAACATTAAAACTCATCCATGAAAGTTATTGATTTCGAATGTGGGTTCTACCAGTTAGACAAACAATTGAGGAAAGAGTGATGATTTCAGTTTTGTGTTCGAAGCCTCAAACTCAGCGACGGATTTGGGAAATGAGTGCGAGGGGAAGGATGACGCTTAATTGAGGAGAGAAAGGAGGATAAATTTACAATTTTATCCACATATTTAAGAGAAATGTTAACAAAGGATCATTCGTGGAAATGAATATATTAATTGGGGACTAAATTAGTAATGTTTGATATGTAGGGACTAAATATGTAAAACGACTTATAATTAGGAACTTTTTATGGAATTTGCTCTAAATAATATGTTGGAATCATATAAAATCTTTATAAAAAAATAATAAAATTTATTTAACTCTATGCAGCCTTATAATAATTAATTGATTTTTCCGAATATATTAATTCCAAACAATCTATCAGAATCTATTAAAATTTGGATTAAATACACTCCTAAAAACAACTCTAAAATACTCCGTGAGCTGAGATTCATGAACATGCCAATAGTTTATTGTGTGTGTAAGCTTTAAGAAAATTTTAATAGCGAATGTTCGTGTTTATGTAAGTGAGGTACAGATTTGAGGCAATAGATTCAACCTACACCATTTTTTTTATTATTAAAACCTACATCATTTTTGTGTTATCCCTTACTCCATATGACCATATCTTTTAAAGATCATAGTCTTTGGACTAACTTTAAATATTCTAAAAACTCGATTGCGCATTTGACAAGATAAGGGGTGCTTAAGTTTACACTTAAATTTGATTCTTAACAAATAAGTTAGTTATGCTAAATATATAATTTCTGTAAATATCAAGTGCAGACTCCACCTTTTGTCAATCAATCTATAATTAAAACTTAATTTACTTTCTATGAGATGACCGTCAAGCTAGTTGGTTTTCAGAGGACTGTTAAGATGGGGTTCATCCTTTCTTTATTTTCTAAAAACAAAATAAATATTCCAATCCTCCTTCTCGAAATGTTTCACTTTACGCAAAATGAAGTGAAATGTCATGTTTTTCATTTGATTTTATTTAAAGATTTGTATAGAAATTAAAAATAAAACTTACATAGTTAAAAATGCTAAACTCCACCATTGGTCCTTCAACATTATCAGTTGTGCACGATTGGTTCTTCAAGTTTTAAAAGTCCATAAATAGTTCTTCAACTTTATGAGTTATGCACGATTGGTCTTTCATGTTTTAAAAGGCTATAAGTAGTCCTTCAAGTAAACGTCAGTCCTCGAGATGAGGTCTTTTTGACAGTAAATGTTAAAACTAATACGGAGTAGTCGTACTTAGTGGAATTTACTCGTATTATATGAAACTAGTATTTCATTTAACTTTTAATATTTACTGTCAAAAGAGTTTCATCTGTAGGGCTGACGTGTACCTGAAAAACTACTTATGGACTTTTGAAACTTGAAGGACCAATCGTGCACAACTCATAAAGTTGAATAACTATTTATGGACTTTTGGAACTTGAAGGATCAATCGTACACAACTCATAAAGTTGAAGGACCAATGATGGATTTTAGCCTAGTTAAAAATCACATCAAAAGTTCTATAAAATGAGAGGTAACGATAACATTATATTTTATTAAATAAATAATAAAAATACATAAAGAAATAAAAAATTCTATGAATTTTTGAATAGTATAGAATTCTTTCTCCAAAAGTTCTTTTTAAAAAAGATGAGCCTCCATCCCTGATGGCCCCTTCAGACCCGGTCGGACGGTTACTGATCAGAAGAGATGAATTGGATTTTGATCGTAGATTGATGTCAAAAAGTGAATTCTATACATAATACTTGCAGAAGCCTCATATTTAACATAGTTACCTCCCAACGTATTTGTCAAAAATCAAACCTAATTCTTATATTTTTGGTAATTCTTATCTTTGCAAAGTGGGCAACCCGGATCCCTCTCCAAAAGTTTTTAAAGTGGTGGTCTGGTGGAGATAACACATGCGCCCAAGCAATACTGGTTGGTCATTATTCAACCCCACCCATCATAATTTGTATACTCGTACCATGAGTGACGGGTCACTATTCAAGCTGGGTCTATATCGAAATAAGAATTATATATTTTTATTCTAAAAATAAAAGTTCGCACAATGATGTTGTGCAATATTGATTATACTTTATAGTTTTTATTTTTTATGAGTGTATACGATCATGATAGACATTGTAGAAATATATTAATTTTTATATTTGGAGAATAAAAAATTAATACTTCCTCCATCCCAAAATATAAGCAACACTCCACTATTTAAAAATCTGGGGAACTTTGATTTATTTTTGCATTTTCATTGATTATTTGATACTCCCTCCGTCCTAAAATTTTCTTCGCAGAGCACTATTCCAATTTCACGGGGATTTATATTTATTTGTGTTTTTCATGGCCTATGTGATAAAATAAAATATTCTTGTCATCACTTGTTTTGTTGAACTTTTGATGCAGTTTTTAAATATGTATGTTTTATTTTTTATTTCTGTAAAACTTTGTGTACAAATGCCTTGCTTTCTCATTAGTCAATAGGAGTTTATATAGACAAGTACAATGGGCCAAGCCCAACACACAATACATAAATACAATCTAAACCCGAAACAATACATGACCCGCTAACACTCCCCCTTAAGTTGGCGCATGAAGATCATGAATGCCCAACTTGGACCGTAAGAACTGGAAGGTGGGTTTAGACAGCGGCTTAGTGAAGAGATCAGCAACCTGAAGACGCGTCGACAAATAACGAGTGGAGACCTCTCGGCGTTGAACACATTCTCGCACAATATGGCAATCAATGTCAATGTGTTTCATCCGCTCATGGAAAACAGGATTCGCAGCAATAAACAACGCGGATTGATTATCACAAAACAACCGAGGAGGATGCAAGATGGGCACGCCGAGAGCCTCAAGAACGTGACGTATCCATCTGATCTCTGCGCAGGTGTTGGCCATAGCGCGATATTCAGCTTCTGCACAGGAATGAGATACCGTCGTTTGTTTCTTAGTTTTCCAAGAAACGGGAGAACCACCAAGCATGACAAAATGCCCGCTGACAGACCTGCGGGTAAGAGGGCAACTGGCCCAGTCGGAATCACAATAAACCGTGATCTGTAAAGTGCTGTCACGGTGGAGAAGAATACCCTGGCCAGGATGTCCTTTGAGGTACCGCAATACACGCATGGCCGCGGCGAGATGATCAACCCTGGGAGCCTGCATAAACTGAGACAATACAGGAACAGAGTAAGCTAAGTCGGGACGCGTGATGGTCAAATATATCAACCGCCCAACAATGCGACGATAGCGCCCGGGGTCACGGAGCAATGGGCTGGCCGAACGGCCCAAGCCATGGTTCGGCTGGATCGGTATGTCGGCAGGTTTGCAGCCCAGTAAACCAGCTTCAGACAAAATATCCAACGCATATTTGCGTTGGCACAGGACCATACCAGTAGAAGACCGAGCACACTCAATGCCGAGGAAATATTTTACCGGACCCAAATCCTTCAAGTGAAAACATGTATCCAGGTAATGCTTGAAGGAGGCACACAAAGAAGCATTATTACCAGTGACCAGGATGTCATCGACATAAACCAAGATAGCCAAAACATCAGGGCCACGCCCATATAAGAACAATGTATGATCCTTGTGGGCCTGGCAGAACCCATATTGACGTAAAGCAGTGGTTAATTTCCGAAACCAATTACGGGGAGACTGCCGTAGACCATACAAAGACTTCCGAAGGCGACACACCTTCCCGGGGTGTAAGTGAGAGTAACCGGGAGGCACCTGCATATATACCTCATCATGCAAATCACCATGAAGAAAAGCATTATTGACATCCAATTGATATACCTCCCAATCCTTGGCCACGGCCACAGACAAAAGAATACGAACCGTACCCATTTTAGCCACGGGTGCAAATGTATCAGTGAAAAGAATACGAACCTTGGTAGGTGTACGACTTATAAGATAGACGGCAGTACGAACACACTCCCCCCAAAACTCGACAGGTAAAGACGCTTGAAACATCAACGATCGGGCTACATTAAGGATGTGACGGTGTTTGCGTTCAACACGCCCATTCTGTTGAGGGGTGTTAACGCAGGAAGTCTGAACCAACACACCCAACTCACTGTACAATCGGCGAAGGGGACTGTTCAGGAATTCAGTCCCATTGTCAGATCGAACAGTTTTAATAGTTTTGTGAAACTGGGTATGCACAAAGGTAAAGAATTGTGTTAAACAGCCCGTCACTTCACTTTTATCAAAGAGCAAATAAACCCAAACAGCACGAGAATGATCATCGACTATAGTCAAAAAATAATGAGCACCAGTAAACAAACACGGAGAATAAGGACCCCACAAATCACAATGAATTAAATCAAAGATTGCTTCGGCTTTATTGGTACTCAAAGGAAACACAGAACGAGTTTGTTTCGAATAAA